ACATTACCCTTCAAACCTGATCCTGAGATGAAAGTCCCTGGGGACAGTCTGGAGTGTATCCTTCAAGATTATTTTCTATGCGTGCATAAACGTATCCATTTTTCTTCACCAAAATAAGCTGATCCTTTACACATTATCATGTGACTTACTTTGCATGGGAGGGTTACTGTCACCTCAGCACACACACATCTCCAGCCTCCTTCTCAGCATCTGCACAGTATCCCTAGATGATGCCTCCCTTCTTTGGACAAATACTTTCGAACCCCCTTGTGTCCTAGGTGCTGTTTGGCAGGGGACAAAACAGTCCCTGCCCTCAAGACCTCCCTCTTCTTTTTTTTTTTTTTTTAATTCTTTTATTCTTTTTATGTTGAGACGAGGTCTTAATAAGTTGCCCAGGTTGGTCTTGAAGTCCTGAACTCCAGTGACCCTCCTGCTTCAGCCTCTCAAAGTGCTGGGACTTTGTGAGCCACTGCACCTGGCCAAGGCCTCCCTCTTACTCCTGATGTTAAGCTGCTCCCAATATTTCCCTATAAAAATACAATGGTGCAGTGATCATCTTGTATGTGCATCTCTGCGTGCAAGTGTGAGTATTGCTACTGGGTAACTTACATTGAAGGAATTGTGCCACTGCATTTTGATAATTCAATACTGCTAATACTAAGGAGATTTAAAGCAGGGAATTACAGTTAAATGTATGGTCCATTGTCTGGGAACAGTGGTTCACATCTGTAATCCTAGCACTATAGGAGGTTGAGGCAGGTGAATCACTTGAGTACAGGAGTTGAGACCAGTCTGGACAACATAGCAAGCCTTCATCTTTACAAAAAAAATTAGCTGGGTGTGGTGGTATGCACATGCACTCCCAGCTATCCAGGAGGCTGACGCAGGATTGCCTGAGCTCAGGAGGTCGAGGATGTGGTGAGCCGTGATTGTGCCACTGCACTCCAGCATGGAAGACAGAGCGAGACTTTGACTCAAAAAGAAAAGGTGGAAGGATCGTCAGAGCCCAGCAGGTCAAGGCTGCGGTGGCCAGGAGCGGCCACTGCACTTCAGTCTGGGTGACAGAGTGAGACTCCAATTCAAAAAAAAGAAAAAGAAAAACGTCACTTTGGGAGGCAGAGGTGGAAGGATTATCTGAGCCCAGGGGTTCGAGACCAGCATTGGCAACAATGGCGAGACCTCATCTTTACAAAAAAAAATTTTGTGTGTGTGTTTGTTGGAGTTTCACTCTGTTGCCCAGACTGGAGTGCAGAGGCATGCTCCCGGCTGCCGTAGCCTTGACCTGCTGGTCTCTGGCGATACTTCCGCCTCAGCCTTCCAAGTAGCTGGAACTATACAGGCTTGTGCTACCACACCTGGCTAAGTTTTGATTTATTGTACAGATGTGGTCTCGCCAAGTTGCCCGGGTGGGTCTCGAACCCACGGGCTCAGGTAATCCACTCGTCTCGGCCTCCCAAAGTGCTGGGATTACAGGCT